AGGTTTGATGGGTGGCGATCGGAAATTAAAAAAAAAACTTTATTTTTTAATGTTAATGAAATTTTCTTTTATTGCTGATATGTTATTGTTTTTATCTGTTGACATGTGCGTCGTGTATATTTATGTTATTTAATTAAGCATATTAGAGTATAATAAAGTATATTATCGTTGAAGTATAAACAATATGACCATGTAATTTAACTAAAACTATCGCGAAAAGTAAACAATTACTAACAGATGAACAAAATACTATTTACAATCGGATTAGGCTGATTGCCAGATAATTACAGTACTATTGTACACGGAAAAAATAATTAATTGGCAGTATTTTCCCAGTTAACCAAATTTTAATAATTACTTAAATCAAAACTGGCTGTGTAATCGGGCTATAGACCGCAAAAAATGCCGAAATTAATTTCGATAATAATATTTTTACTATATTAAATAGCTTACTCAAATATAATTTAATTATAACTTAGCCACAGCAAGGCGTGGGCTGGGTCTTCTAGTATAATTAAATAAATATCGGACACAATTTTCTACTCCATTACAATATTCAATCCCTTGAAGCTAAAATGTCAAGAACAGTTTACTCTTTGTCGCCATTTTCACTCAGATATTCACCAGTGATTTAGTCCGTTAAACTAAAAAGTGAGAAATGGGCGTGAATCAATCTTCTCAGTTGTCGAATATTGAGCAAAATTTCAGCTGGGAAGAAGCATGGATTTCAAATGTAGTGGTGACTTTTGATTAATTAAAATGTAAATCATCGGTAAATTGACTTAATTTTTTATTGATTAAATTTTTTAGAACGGATTACTATAACACATGTATATTTGCTCTTCAAACTGACCGATCAAAATCATGATAAAATATTTTCATAACAGATATTTTTCATTATGAAGTAAACTTAATTCGACTTGAGTATTGTTTATATTAAACAACGTGGCTAGAAAGAACTAGCATAACGTTTTCCGTTGAATGCAAACCGTTAGTCGGTTTTCAACATTTTTTCTTGTTTTTCAGGAAATGTTGAACCGCATAGCACATTTCTGAATTAAAAAAACTTCCCATAAAAATTCGTCAATAGTTGAAAGGAGGCATAAAATTTGCAGGTCAAGACACTTGCGCCAAATATTTAGCAAACGTTTCTTTTTTAGTTTTACGAATAATTTATTGAATATTCTGAGAATTATTAAGGGTTTCTCGTGTGTTCATACATACGAAAGCGAACAATTTATAATACTTATGTAAATACACCCCTGTAAATAAAAAGTTAATTATTGACATGCAAATAAATAGGCTTTATGATATTCTATATGTATGTGCATATACAATACATATATACATATTTGTAAACATGCACCAATCCATAGACATATACACGTATTTATGTATTTATATGCGTACTCTTGTGCGTATACACATTTAAATATGTTTGCAACAGTGTCTCTTATGCAGTTTGGAAGCTTTCTGAAAGCTTTATTGCCAATTTTTATGCGCATTTACTTTCAGAACCAGCTTCTCTCTCTCTTTACCATTCTCTCGCTTTATTCAATTATGGTTATTTTTGGTCATTATATTTTTCATATTTGTTCTCTATTTATTTTATTGCAATTTACTACCACTTTGGTCAAATAGAACTATACAAAAACTTATATTTTGCACAAACATACATATTTGATGCTCGACACTCCTTATTCGGTTCGAGTCGGGTGCAACGCGCATTGAGTTCGCGAGTTATCTCGGCTGCGCAGCGCACTCAAAGTCAAAGGTTGTTGAACTGTGTCACAACATGGAGGCGAGTTTCAATGCCATGGCGGCTTTTAGCACACACGTTCACACACAAACACACGAACATGTGCATACATGCACATGCATGCGAATGCACCAGTAAATGCGTGCAGCTTTGCAGTTTTGTGCATAGAATTCGGTTTGGCTCGTCGCATAGACACTTTCCGAGTCCCTGGTGGTGGTGTATTGTTGTTGTTGTGTGAATGCGGCGGTGCGCTGGATCGAAATGAAGTGTTTGTGGCCGGGCACAAAAGCGCTAAAACGCATGCACATGTACATACATACTTATGTATGTGCAATGTGCGAATGTGCTTGCATTCAATATTTTTGTATTTCTGTATACAAGCTTTATACTTATGTGTGTATATGTGTATGTATGTAAGTACATAAGTGCATTGTTAAGTGCGCTTTGTAGTGCAGAGCGCGTATTTTTTATATTCTTATGCACTTAACATATGTACATAAATATAGACATACATACATACTCATTATGTTTGCACTTTCCTTGCAAAGTCTCGTTTTGGGACCAAATTATGTTGACAAAATGTTCACAGCCGTGTTTAAGGGTTGGTAAAAATGGCCCAAAAAAATAAAAAATAAATAAGGCATATTACTATTAATTTAATTTTATACCCATTATGTCTGAATTAAATATAATTTTAGCTCAAAACATTTGTTTTTTATTATTTTAATCCTTATTTAATTGCAAATATTTTCATACAAACTGGACAGTTGCAATATTAAGACCAACGAACCGAATTGAGTTAAGGGGTTACTTCAGCTTCAAATAAAAGTTTTTGGTTTTATTATCTTATTTAACTCCAAAACATCTCTGGAATATTATCCAAAATTCTCAAGTTGATCCGAGTAATAGTTTTGGAGATACAGCGTTGAAAGTTTGCGCGCTCGAGGTCAGCTATATAGTCACTTAAAACTTTAAACTCGTTTTTCTCTAAACTGTGTTTTCAAAGTCGGTTGTCAAAACCTCTCGTGAACTACTGAACCGATCTTAATGAAATTTTACACAGCTTTCGATATATTATATAATTAACAAGGTCTTGAATGAAGGATTTTTTTTGTAAAAAAGTCTGCCAAAAATAAAATGTTTACTTTTCTTGTTTTTCGTTCGTCCAATACCAAATTAAGACACGTATTTTTTTTTCCTTTAAATGATCCTGCAAGAAGTGCTGTCAACGAGTAGGCATCTTTTTTTCGAGGAACTGCCGGAACTACGACGTCAGTTGGCCGAGTTTTAAATATTTTCCTTTGAAATAATACTTTGTAAAATATATCTGTATATATATCTATATATACATAATGTATCTTTAGAATAATTTGAGTTTGAATAAAATATTAAATTTTTTGTATAAAAAAAAGTATTGAAAATAGGCCATTTTTTCTTCGAGGAAACCCATGTAACTCCTTATGTATGCGAAATCCTGATTATATGTGAGTTGAATGGTTGACTTGCGTGAATATAAAAGCGAAAATGTATGTGTCCGATTTTTAGGAGTTTTAACATTCATTCTGGTTTTCATCCGTTGGTAGCCTTAAAGAGAGTTCTCGTTTTGTTGAAAAAGTCTAAAAATACGTTTTTGAAGTACGAGTACGAGTAGGCCGCAGTGGCGGCTGAAGTCGTGTGCTTTGCCTTGGTCGTGTTCACCAAGTGATATATGCTTGGTATATGGTCACGAAACGACGCAGAAATATAGCGGTATAGTGTTTAAATAGTGTCAAATGCTGCACTCGTTGTGCGGAGTGAGCAAACGCGGCAACCGTGGAACTGGGAGCTTTCTCAGAGCCAATATTTCATGTAGGATATGACCTACGAGTCTTTTTGAAATATAAACGGTCTGTATATTTTTAAATCGCGAATTTTTTTTACGTTTTTGGGGTAGCTGGGTTACGTTTTTGGGCGTGGTATCAAAAACCAAGTGTTCATTGATTTCACTGAGCCATTTATTTATAAAAAATGAGAATCGAACTTCCGACTCATTTTTCAATTGTCTAGAATTCGCTCACTACCATATACTATCAAAATAAGCTATGAGCCCGATTTGGTTAAAATTTTGACAGCAGCCGTCTACAAGAATATATTAAAAAATAAAAAGATATTAAAATTTTTCTTGCCGTAGTGAAGATATCGGGGCCAAGTACTTATCGGACCCTTTTCGTAGATACAGTAATAAATTGAAGTCACCCTAGATATTTTAATTTCAGAAACCCTCGAACCAATAGCGTCAATTATTGTCTTTAGATAAGTTACTGATAACTCCTAAAAATTTCATTAACTTTTGCTTAGGCCTTCTTAAATTTAGGAAGTGCTCACGATCTGTGGGTAATTTAGTGATTTTGTTGTAATAAATATGTATATATCATTTATAACTACTACTGAGCTGCTCTAACTCATAAAATGATGTAAATCTATGTAAAACACTCAAGGAGGGACTCAAAGTAGATAAAATACTACTATCTTAACATCTTTCGTTGCGATTAAGCTCGCCAGCTTTGCTGGTTGGTATTGAAGTTAGGTCTTAATTAGTAAGCATTGGCTAATATTTTATACATTTTATAAAAAAATGAATAATTAGAGTGCAGTTATACAATGGATTCTAAACTTTAACATATTTTTTGTTTGATAAATGTGTTCTAATTCTGAGCATTACTGCATATTGATGAAAGACTTTTATATTTCAAGGTTAGTTTATTTAAATATTAGATATTGGATTATTTATAACCGAAGGTTCCAGCCCATTTTAGACCTTTTATTTTTTAATATCTACTACGTTCCGCAGTCACCTAAACAATCGTCTCGGTGAAAACTATTGCCTAGAAAGTTTATATTCTTTTGAAATTGGAGCTTTTCCTAAAAATTATTCTTTTCTTATTTATGTGCGTTCTTGTTAATTTGAAAATCTCGCCGTTGTGACAGCCTATCCAAGGTTATCTTGTTACCTTTCTGCAAGGGTTCAGGTTGGCAATCCTCAACTAGCCAGGAACTGAAAGTACCTTTGGTGAGATTCATAGGCTGTTATTTTAATCAAGATTATGTCCCTCGTCTGGGACTAACAATCCATTTATGTACTAAATATATACGTATATATTGTACATCGGTACTCTTTGTTGCCTGGTACACGCGAGTTCAAACCCATCTGCTGCTCATAATAATAATAATGATAATAATTAAAAACTATTTTATGTCACAGCGTGCACTGCCGACACCCAACAACAAAAACATTGCGAACTCTATTAAGTGCAGTGAGAGAGACCAAACTCAATGCTACACAAATCTCTCAAGAATGGAGTATATGCAATATAAATAGCAACAACACACTTATAAAAATGCACGCACAGAAAGATATGTACATATGTGTAAATCGCAAAATACATAAACGCTATATAAATAAATAAATAAATATAAACGAAGCGCTTTTATGCTTTTACATTAACGCTCTCTAGCGCTCGCATTGCCATTGACAACGAGTATAATCGTACAGGAAACTTTTCGCGGGCAAGAACTTCCAATCAACTTGGGACTGCTGGGCCGCTTTCGCTTAATTCTGTATATACCGTAAAAGTTTGGAGCGAAAACATGGAGAAAAAGTACGCCAAGGGGAAGGATGGTTGGAAAAGCATGCAAAGTTGAATATGTATGTATATTTGTGCATATTATATACTAAATATAAATGTGTTTATATATTTTGTAATCGTGAGAGCGCCATACTATGCAGCGTAGTAGGCGCAGTGGCGGTCTCGTTGTCTCGAGGATGTGCTAAGCATGGCAAAAAGCATAGCAGCAAGTGCGGAAAAGCGCACTTGAAAGCAGCCAGTCATCACGCTAAGGGGTTGGTGGTGGTGCGGCGAACGTTGCATGGGATTCTAATTTTAAAGCTGCAGCTAAAAAGCAGAAGAAATTACACATCCAGTAAACAAAGAACTCCGGACATGATCGGTTGATCGCGGTGATGGCACAGACGTTTCGTTTTCGCAACCGTTGCACTCACTTGCTGGCCATACACATATTGTGGACTGAGAGTTAAGGTGTGTGTATGCGTGCGTGTTGTTGTTGTGCGGTTGTAATTGGTTTTTTTTTAAAGAAAAATTCAAAAATGAAAGAAGCCAACTGGTTAATTAGAGCGTGTTATTGAATAAGTAATATATAAGGAGAGTGCATATATAAATACATATGTATATATGGTACATACATATATGTACATATATATACACATGCATAGAAAAAGCTAGCGCCACATTTTAAAACAGGCAGTGCAATTCTGCTGATGAACTTTGGAAATTTTTAAATTTTTCGACTTCGACGTAAATTAAGGCGACTCTATGGACCACCACTCGTAAAACGGTTAAACTAAAGTGCATAAAGTGCTTTGCAATAAAATAAATAACGCGTATTTGAATTTCGTTAGGTGTGTTTACATATCTACATACATACATCCATACATATATAGCTTGTAATGGCAGCGTTTTGTGCAATTTCAGTAGTTTTAGCATTTAAACTTGACCTTAAACTTGTTCGGCGAGTTCTTGCGCGCAGTCAATGCCAGTGGAAGTGCTAATGTCTAGTGTTGGCGTTAGCGACCTGCCTCTGTACGCCTCTACAACTCCAAACATTGCTATAGTTGTAGCGCCTGCATATCCGACTACACATCCGGCAGCGCATTCGTTGGTTTGCGTGTATATTTATAGTTTGCCAAAAATAAAGTAAAATACAATAAAAACAAATGCAAACAACTTTTCCGCAACAACATCGCTATATTTTGCATTTGCATTTGCATTTTTTTTTCGCGTGTGGAAGCGCTTTTTTCAGTTACTGGAAGTTTCTAACCAAACCAGTGCCAGAAGTATTAAGTTTCTATTGGCTTTGTAATGTATACCAAACTTAACGTGACTGTGTACTTATATACATACATACATAAATACAAAGTATGTAGATGTGCGCTCGGTCGGCGTAAGAAGTGCATTGCATTAATAAGTGCTTGTATGTGCTTGTTGTCTCGCAGAGCTTTAACTGCATACATGCACCGTTGCAGCAATTCGCCGGCGCTAAGCTGTGCACGAGCAACCGAAATTCTATAAGTGCAAAGCTCAGTGTCTAAAGCTCACTACACATCAATGACAACGGTCAATGTATTCTATGAAGTCGTAAGCTTTTTTTTATATATGTATATACAGTGCTGTGTAGGAAAATAGCACAATGACTTCTGTTAATATAGGTAGAGGCACACCTAGTGTAACAAGCGATCTCCGACGGCGCTAAACAAAAAAGGTTCTCCACTGCTGAAGTGATTCCGGCTTTCTCCGTGGATGACAACTAAAAAAAAATTCTTTTCCGTAAAAGGAAAAATTAAAATTTGACAAATTGGCGGCGCTTTTTGAAAAAATGCATTTTAGCGCTATCAGCAGTTCAAGCTTCTAATTGAGTGGAAGCTTAGATTCAGCTCTAGTGTTAGTGCCAGCCCTTGCAACTAGATCAAGCTTCGCTCTTGTCTTTGTGCTGGCTGTTTTCGTAATCATTACAAACGCTGTCTTTTTCTCGTAACAAAAAGTTCCCCCCGGCTTTTTTCCAGGAGACCCGGACTTATTTTATCCTTTATTGTTGTTTTTATAGTTTTGGCTGCTCACACACGAGTGCAGGGGAAAGTAAGTCCGCTTGCGTTTGGCCCCCGCTATGCATGTAAGGCTATCTTATTACGGATGATACCATGTATCGGTAAGCTCCGTTCGGAACTGGGCTATTTAAGTGCCACTAGCCAGGTTGATCTTCGGCGTGAATTTATATATAGTCTGTTTTTTTACATATTCGTTTTATGATTTCTTGTATAATTTGCTTCAACTTTAGCTAACATACAAAAAGCTTTGCGAAAGCTCTATTCTATATAATCGCACATCACTATACACCACAATACATATTCCCAATCGACACAACAAGTGCTTCATTAGAAGAGTTCAACTCTTTAGAACTCCAAAATAATTTGAAACTCTCATTTTTTATTTTGCCCTTTTTGGCTCAACATCAACTACACCAAACTTGTTTGCTTGCTATTGCAGCTGCCACATTGACAAGTCATCGTCGTCATCGTCGCCGTCGTTCGCAGCATAAACTTCAAGGTGAACAGCAACAAAAACACTGAAAGCGCACTTGAAGAGTAGAGGCAAAGGACGAAGAACGTCAACGCACTCCGGCGCACCAAAAAGTCGCTCATTGGTGGTGGTCTACGGCAGCATATGTTGCAGAAACTACAACAAAGCATAAACAGGCGAAGACGAAGAAGAAGCAGAGGATTTGAATGAAAGAACGAGCTGTGGCAATTGTGTGCGCATCAAGGGTCGTGCAACAGCCAAACAAAAACAATATACCTATTTAAAGACTCAAGTATACGATTGCATACGATTACATAAAGACTAACAACAATAACAACAGCAATCAGCACAGACGATGGCTAAGACACGAATAAAAACAACACCAACGCGCTTGCAGAAGGATGCGTTAATGGCATCAGCCGGCACCGTCACTGCCGCCGCAGCCATAACAAAGCCAGTGGTAACGACGTACCACACTGCTGCACCGCCAGATGATGTCAAGGTAATGCGAATGTTTGGTTGAGGGAGTACAACTTCATTTTCATTTCAATGCAGTGTGTAGAGGCAGCATCGTTGTGATTTCAACGAAATCACATGAGTGTGATATGACTTGTAAAGGTTATTTTATTCATAGATAGGAAATATTTATACAAAATTATTGTTTAATATATTCTTTAGGCCGCTATACTTGTATATATAGTGTGAAATCATATGCCTTAAGTAATACTGAAAATGTTAGGAATTTTCAATCGTCTGATATACCATGACGTGATGTTAAATGTGCTAAGATGTAATATTCTGCTTTGTTATTTAGGATGTTAGTTTTTTTAATTTTAAAAAATTCCAGCTTCATATGATGATGTGGTGTAACGATTAGTGCAAAAGATTGATTGATTTGGGCTGATATGATTTTATATAACGCGAGGTGATATCAGTGATGAATAATGTATTAGCATTACGTACCATATACTGATAAAAATTGTACAGAAAATATCAAGCAAGTGATGAAAAATATAATGATGTGATGTCATGATGTATTTTTGTCCGATGTACTACGACGTGATGTTGAATGTGGTAAGGTGTGATGTTCTGCTTCGTCATTTAGAAAGTAGATTCCTCAATTTTTAAATATGCCTTCGTGATTGGTGATGGAAAGTTTGGCATTTCTGACCACGTCAAGTAAAAACAATGGTGGTCTAGTCGTGGGGATCCGGCGCAAACAGTGACTAAGCCAGGATTTACGTTCAAGTAGATTTTACTATGTGTTTGATGGGATTAGCTCTTTAGATTCAGAAGAGGAATTGTGTTTCATCAGGACAACGCCAGGTCACACACAGCGATAGTGACTCGCAAAAACCTATGGGCACTTGTTTGGGCGGTTCTTATACATCCGTAGTACAGTACAAGTAGTCCGGACTTGGCACTATGTGATTACTACCTATATCTGCCATTGGTTAATGGTTTTTCTAGTGAAAAATTCTTGATAATGGCAACAAGTTAGCGAAGCAAACTCTGCATCTTTGTCCTGAATCGGATCATTCTAACTACGCCAAATACATCCTTCTATTTCACTCAAAAAAAATGGATTTTCTTTAACATTGATAGGTGTAATGTATTAGTGTAAGGTAATTAGGGCCTATTTAAGATCCTCAACCAACAGCAGGATGCTTTGCATGAGATTATGATATTCATATAATTGGAAGGATCAACTCGTTTGAATTCAGATAAAAGTGAAGTTGTGCCCCACCAATGCACACTTTTTTTTCTCCAGTAGCATTGACGCTGTCTTAGATTCAGCAAAGTTTTGAGAGTGCCGAATGGAACAAAGAACTTCTATGATTTATATATTGTTATATATATGGACTTACTGATGGGGTGCGTTCGGCAATCACAACTGTTGTAAATTTGTCAAAGTATCACGTTCTGTGAAGGAGAAGTGCTGGAGTATTTTATGAACAAAATTAAATTAGGATAAGCTCGGTTAGGTTTTCATTATAGCACATATCACATAACTGATAATGAATGTTTACATGTTCAAAGTTTTCAAGTTTTTAATAAAGTTCAGTACAGAAAATGGCACGATTCTCAACCGTTTGGTTAGGGTTTGAATTTCTTTACATTTTCCATTCTTTATTATTATTGTCTAAAAGCTTTGCTTATGCTATATGAACCTAAACATATATTTTCTGCCCTATAGAAACGCCTACGTAACTCAGCGCCCCTGCCCAAGCCAATGCAAAGCGGTACCTCGACGATCATTGTTACAGCACCGAAACGTACAAATTCCATTTCATCTATCGCCTCATCAATTTCGCAGATCAGCGATGCACACTCCGACACCGAATCACCTCCACCACCCTCCGTGGCATCCACCACAACAACAAAATCAACAAAGTCTGTACTCACTGCAATCGCTTCCGCACAAGCGCCGCGCACACTCAACAGTTTGCTATGCAAACCCACGCCCACGCCCACGCACTCAGCGCCGCGCAATCGCAAAGTATTTATGATAACCGAAAAGTCCGATGAACCCCACGGTGCCGAAACGTCCACCACAGCGCTGGCTGGAGCGACGGCCGGGCAAAAACGGAAGATGTACTTGATTATGGAGGAGAATAGTTGCGCCGAGGATGGTGAGGAGGACGAAGGTGACGATGCTTTAACAAAAGATGCACATAAGTATTTAAAACGAGAAAATGGTCTGATTGTAGGTGCTAGCGGTTCGAAAAAGTTAACGCTCTTTGCAGACAAAGCGGACAGCGGCACGCTGACAGAAAAGTTCGAAAAGATATTGCCGGAAATACTGAATCGCATACAGGCTAAAGATACAAATGCCGGCGGTGCTGGATCGGCATTGGCGGCATTAACGCCGTTGTCGACGCCGACGCCGACAGTGACCTCGAAACTACTGAACGGCAGCACCAATTTGAATATCATTAAGTCTGAACCAATACAGCAGCAACAACAGCAACAGTCGCATTTTCAACTCAAACCAGAGCACAACAACAAAACGGCGACTGATGCGAGCAATGAAAGACTACCAATTACACTGCCACCAAAAAAGAATCGTACAAAAATCATTACAACACACCTACAAAACTCAGCCTACAATGGCGCACATTTCAGTGACAATGCAAATAGCGTTTGGTGCAACTACAACAATAACAGCTGCAGCAGTAGCAGCAACAACAATAACAACAGCAGTGAAAAAATTGGCGCACAGTGTCATATTAAGCAGATCTCTGCCGCGACGCCGGTAATAGTGTCGGCGGTCACGATGAATGCCCGCCACAACAACAACAACAATAACAGTCTTGTTGAAAACATAACAAGTGAGATTAAACGCTTCACGCCCAAGCCGGACAACAACATTAACACAACAAACAACAACACGAATATTAGATATGCAAGCAATTGTAACGGTCAAGCCGTCACAACCATGGCACAAGTGGAATTGGTGCCGCAGAAGAACATTAACCTCTCCACCGATTTTCACTTCCTCATCAAAATGTTGCCGAAACTGGAAAGCATACCCGAACCACACAAGAACAATGTGAAGAATTGCATCGAGAAGATAATCACACAAAACGCGAACATATTTGCCAAACAGTAGCAGTCGTACTTCGAAAAATCGAAAATCGTCGTTTTCGAAAAATTGCAGCATTTTATGAAGTGAACATATTCATCTAGTTAGTTAATAGCATTTACATATAAGCAAAGTAAAATAATATTATATTCTCATTTTTCGCTGAAACTTTTCAATTAATTTAAAGTAAGCCAGCGCACTTTTCCAAAAGTCAACGCCTTTTTTACCTACGAATGTTGGGCATTCGTTAAAATTTTGTAGTTTTCGAAAAACCATAGTTTGTAAGACTTTTGCATAAGTATTTAAAGTGTATTCTAATTAAGTTTTTCACATTAAATGCTGTTATACATACATACTAACATATTTTTAGATATGTGCATTTTTGTTTTTCAAAAACATAGACTGACGGCGGTAAGGCTGCAAATTATATTTAGCTAAGTATATACTTCAAGTAAATTTAATGCGAAAATTAAAAAAAAAAACATGTATTACATACACATATACATATTGTGAAATGCATATACTTAAGTTGAAATTAAATTTCTCGAAATACATACAAACATACATATATGAGTATTTAAATAACTGTAAGTGAACGAATAATTCTATTTTCTTAATTGGTAACTTAAATACATACATACATATGAATAAATTACAACAAAAAGTCTGACTCATTGTGTATTAATTTTTGGATGAAAAATGTTATCGGCAGGTGTTTCTGTTAGGAGTATCGACAGTACGAAGTGCACCAAATGCGTGAACTGAGATATCTGCATATATAGTCGTAGACAAATTATTTAAGCGTCCACGCCAAACTAGAATTTTTGAAAAAATCGATTATATATGTAATTTTTTGTTTCAAGTACACATTAGAGCGCTAAAAACATTCAATTGTTATGGTTCCGTTCAATCAGCTTCAGCAGATAAATCATATCAAAAAGTGCCCTGATGAGTGCTATGCAGGCTCTGTGACTAGCAAAGCAACTATTAGTAGATTCCTTACAGGTCTTATGAGCTCCGAAGGCGATGAACACAGTGAGCGTTCAAAAAAGGCTGCCCGGAAAAAGACAAATGGTTTTGAATGGCTCTAAATTGACGTTGATCGAGATAGCAGACTATCTGGCGATAACAAATGAACATGTTGAAGAAATCGTTCATGAAATTTTGGATAAGCAAAAACTCTTTACAAAGCGGGTGTCTTTCGAGTTCACCATCGACCGATTCTTCATATTACACATCAATGAAAACAATGACAAAATTGCGCTTCTAATTGCTTTTAAGTTCAGCGTATTCTTACATTTGAAACAAAACAAAAAAATGTATCACTGATAAAATAATATGGAACAGTTGGAAGATGACTATAACCGGTGCATCGCTGTAGATGACTAAAGATACGAACCGTTCTGTCCGTCTGCCCCCATTAAATCTTTTGAGTCTTTTTTTTATATATGATATTTCTACTGGGAGTTTTGTCATATAATTAATTTTTATGTGGTACGTTGTTTCAGGCAGGAGCCAAAGAGCTACATAATATTTACTGTCAATATAAAATTTTTCTATTCGCGGTATTACAGCACTTTACCATACAATTATTTCCGGCCTCGCTATAGAAACCAACTTTCGCCCCGAATTTCTTTTTACGCTCGCAAACGATTCTTTATTATAGACAGCTCTTATATGAGTTGCCAAAACAGGAAACTGTACGGCGATTGAACTCTAGCAAACATAAATACTTATGATGAAGCATCTTTTTTTGAGTTCGACGTTCTTTTTGTAATATCTTATGCATTACATATCCAAAGAATCATGTTAAGTCGATATAAATAATTTCATATTCAAATCATGCTATGATGAAGATTTTCGAGTAAGTTTTCAGTGTTATTCTCGTTTACAAAGTTGACTGGATGCTCGCACAAGGAACTTTTCTTTTTTCGACAAAGTAGACACTTTTAAACTTCATTCCGAAGGAGAGTCAAAATTCAAGCATACGGCATAAACTCTACACTTCTTCAAGACCAATCGAAAAATGGAAACGCAAGGATTGCTTTGAATCGTAAGGTAATTAATCCAAGTTGGTAATGATTGATAACGAGGCATGAGTCTGATGAAAACATATATTCTACAATGTAAAGTGAGAACTTGGAAGACTTGGAACTGCAGGATGCTATACGCGGAAATAAAAATTATCGCATTTTAAGATACGAAATGCTTTCAAAGTGGTCGTGGTTCCACCTCCTAATAGGTTTAATGTACACATCTCTTAAGCAACTCGAGTTATATCACCAAAATTTGCACAGGACAAATCCTTTCGAGACCTCTTACGAAAGTGTGAAAATAGGTGAAATTGGATAACCCCGCCCACTTCGCATAGAACGGTTTTGTTAAAAACTACTAAAAGTGCGAAAAATTAATAACTAAATGCGTCAGAGGCATTAAGTTTTATTATTTAAATTTTTCCAGGATGGTACAAAAGGGCTCACCTTTAAGGAAAATCACGTATCTCCAGACCTATTCAATCAATTGCAACCACATTCGGTAGGTAATATTATTTTTGCATTTCCAAGTTAGAGTGTGGGGCAGTCGGCGAAATCGGACTACAATCACGCCTACTTATCATATAAATTTCATCTGATTCTTCCACTTTCCCGTATACGAATCAAGCACCAATGTATATATCGAAATAAAACTTTGTACAAATAATGCCTTAAGGGCTTTCTATCTCGAGTCCAAAAATCGGACCATAACTATTCAAAATGGATAAAATCGAGGTATTGACCCCTATAACCCACATACCTAATATAAAATTTTCAAACTTATATTGGATATACTATAGTGTGAAATTGGCCCACGAATTATCTCGACTCTCATATACTACGTTTTGAACCTTATGCTGAATATGTCGTTCAGTGTGTGAGTTAACATCAAAAAATTATGTGGAAACCAAATATACTCTAGGAATGTCAAAACTTTCTACAATCAGGCCAGATCTTTCTCTGTACGTAATATATCCACTATATAGATTTTCGACTTTTCAGCCGACTTCAAACCGCTTTGATTGGTCAAATGTGTGATATATTAAAGAACTTAACCCTTCCTTACTTGTTGATAGCAACTGTACTGCTAGGAAAACTTCCCATTAGATAATTATATCCATCTCGAATTTGCATGCATACTTTTCTTTAGGAGGCCCCTTCAACCAATATAAAATTATTGCATAAATTGTGCTACTGAAACAACAATTTTAACTGTTTCCGGAAAATTCATATTTCTCTGCGCCGATCACCTAGTGCGTTATAAATATTATATTAATAATATTAAAGCAACTCAAACCGCTCAAGGTCGCATGTACCCCATCCCCCCAAGTAAAAGGCTTGCATTATGTTGCATAATAATTTCCAAAGAACTTTTATTCAGTTGAAAGCTTTATTATTATTCTTTTTGTATATCTTGTATTAATGTTTGTTCTTCATTTTGGTTTTGTTTTTTATTTATATTTTATATTGATTTTTTCCATTAGTACGTCTATTTAATTATAATATTTAAGAGTAAATGTAAACAAAATAATATTTTATTATAAATGTATAGACTATATATGTATGTACGTGTTGACTAATAAATATGCATTATTTTTACATTTCTAAGAAGCAAAAGAAGCAAGGAATTTTATTCACTTGTGTAGCTTAAAAAGAAAAACCGAAAACAATGCGCCTAATACTCTCACATTTAATTCTAAATAAAAAAAATACATAGTGGAAATAAAGTTGACAAGTAGTTTACTATATAGTAATTACGCACATCTACTATCGAAATAGTTGTAAATTTATTTAATTAATTTTTTTTGTTGTTGTTAGATTTTGGAATTATACATGTAAGTATGTAATGCATTTAGTGAGTAATTTAGTTAATTAGTGAATACATATAAATACAGAGACTCACATATTTGCTTTGCTGTTTTTTTATATATTAAATTTTCAGCTTTTTCTATTTCACTTTATACACTTGCATATATTTCATTTAAATATTTTGTTTGCTTTGAAGCAAAAATTGCATTTCATTATTTTTAATTAATTAATTTAATTTTGTTTGTAATTCTAAGTACTTTTGAAATAATTTACAAATATTTACAGATTAATTAGCCGCACAATTAGTGTCGTAGCTTGTTTGCCAAATTGCGGTTTCTAATTGAAAATGTGTTTTCTCCACTTTTCAGTATTTTTTTTTTTTATATTTAATTTCGAAAATAATTTGTTCTTGTATAATACAATTGTATGCGAATATTTGAGCGTGTATGTACATTTTAAAATGTAAAAAAATTTGTTGTGTTAGATGAATTATTTTTATATGTATGTGTGTATGTATGTATGTATGTATATATGTGAATACTTGTTTCAATATTTACCATATAAGCATTTCTTTTGAATAGCAAATTACTTTAAATATTCAAGTACACAAATTCAAATTTATAGGCTTTTTATAATATACTTTAATATACATCTAAGAAAGTTCTGCCATTTTTTTATTACAAAATATTTGTGTGCGCAATAATTTTAAAAAATCAATCATTTATTTTTTTAAATTTTTTATTTTTTAGTAATTTTTTACCAAATTTTGTTTTTGCATTTGTTTCAAAATTTTGTTAACAAATATTTATTCCAAATTCTTCTTAGCTTTTGCAAAAATTATTTTCAAACACAATTTTGTGTATTTTTCTTTTGTATTAGTGTTGTAAAAAAGTATTTTTTCGGTGCCTTCAATATCATACCAAATTGTTTTCATGTAATCATTTTAGTGAATTCCTTTTTCAAAACATTACATTTGCATTTGAGTTGCTTGTTTTTAATATTTTTTTATTTTGCTCACTTATATTTTTTTTCATCAATATTGTTCACCTTTATGGTAGTATACATATACACACAGGTAAAGCTTCATATTTATTTCTTAATATTTTTAAGATAAAAATTTTGCAAGATTTTTTTCAAAACTTTTTATTATTGTTTTGTTTATAATAATGAAACATTGTAATTTAATAGACATTTTTGTATTTATAATTATTTTTGAAAAATTTCAATCACTTTTGAGTACACTGTTTACAATTTTTTTATCGAGATTTGTGCTTTTTTCTCACCTTGGCTAAGTAAATTTAAGTTTTCGTTAAGTATTTGTATAAGTATTTTATATTTGGTATTATTGTTTTTTTTAATTTTTATTTTATATCTGCTTTACTTTTAATACTTTTTCTATTGAATATTGTTAACTACGCTTGTTTCTACTACCTTGTTTTTGTTATTTTTGTCAATAATTATAATGAGAGGGTGTGCGTGTGGGAAGTACATATGCTTTACGTGTATGGATTATTATATGAAATACGTTTTATATATATGTATATGTTTATACTCACTTTGAATAGCAATATTTTCTAAATTTTACACATAGCTGTAGGAAAATACAAACATACACACTATTGAGTATATTTATTGGTATTTCTAAAACTCTTTCTTTCTAACTCACAAATTTAAGTTTATTGAACTTTTTACTTTTAAGCAATCACAAAGTGTTTTCTTTTTAACTTTTATTGTTGTTTTTGTTTTTTGTGTCCAGTTGTATGTATTTCTGACGCTCAACTGGCGTCGTTACCAACAAATTTTATACCAAAATCCAATTATTTGTTTT